AACATACTCCAGTCACCATCAACGGGAGAAACTTAAAGGAAGTAGCCTTCACCTATCTAGGAAGCACTGTTTCAACTACAGGCGGGACAGACGAGGATGTCAAGGTCAGAATCGGAAAAGCAAGACAGGCTTTCATTAGCCTGAAACCAGTGTGGAGATCTTTTGCACTCAGCATGTGGAACAAGATTCGGATTTTCAACACCAAGTCAAGTCAGTGCTTCTGTATGGTTGAGAGACTTGGCGCGTCACGAAAGGGATTTCCAATAAACTACAGACATTCATCAACAACTGCTTACGCTCGCTACTGAAGATCAGATGGCCAGAAAGAATAAACAACAAGGAGCTCTGGGAACGAACCAACCAAGAATCTATCCCACAACAAATACGCAGAAGGAAGTAGAGATGGATTGGATTGGACATACACTGAGAAGGCCGACTGGGGACATCACGCGTCAGGCCAGGCCCTCGAGTGGAATCCCCATGGGAAGCGACGAGTTGGACGTCCGAGATGAGGGTGACATGGAGGAGATCGTGCGAGGAGGAAATAAGAGCATCTGGGCTGTCGTGGAGCCAGGTTCAAAAGATTTCAGAGAACAGAGGTCACTGGAGACGTGCTACTGAAGCCCTATGTCCCATTAGGAACCCAATAATTTTATGTATTATTATAACCGTCATAAATATTTGCAAGAACTGCTGCTATTGTCCACACTAAGCAAAATATTAGGCCGCATCATCCTCGAGAGACTAAAACATGCTCCGCATTCAAAACTACCACCGGAACAGGCTGGTTGGCTGGCTAGCTGCAGGCAAAACAAATCATCTGAGGATCAAATTACAACGCAACACTACGTATCATCATAGAACAGAGCGCACAATCGCAGTCAACTCTCTAACTCAACGTCATCGACTTTGAAAAGGCCTTCGACAGCGTCAACCTAGAAGCAATTTGGCAGGCAGCTGCTTCAACATTACGGTTTTAGTGCCACAAACCTCTATCAACCTCATTCAACAGCTACATGCTATGCTATATGATGCTACATACCAAGTGCTTCACAACGGAAAGCTCAGTGACGCCTTCGAAGTGAAGACAGGAGTAAGACAAGGCTGTCACCTACTACCACCGATCATCTTCCTGATTGTAGTCGACTGGACTGGACTGGATCATGCAACAAACTGTGAGGGAGAAGATCGGGATACGTTGGCTGGACCGATGAAAAGACCCCAGAAGATTTGGATTTCGCCGCCGCCGATGATGATGATGATGACTCATCTCCAATGTCTCGTCGCACAAACTCCAAGACACACTGGCGAAAACTAACAAGTTGGTAGAAGAGGCAGCGAAGACGGGACTTCGAGTGAATATAGAGAAGACAGAGGTGATGAAGATACCGCACCACCAACAACAACATACTCCAGTCACCATCAACGGGAGAAACTTAAAGGAAGTAGCCTTCACCTATCTAGGAAGCACTGTTTCAACTACAGGCGGGACAGACGAGGATGTCAAGGTCAGAATCGGAAAAGCAAGACAGGCTTTCATTAGCCTGAAACCAGTGTGGAGATCTTTTGCACTCAGCATGTGGAACAAGATTCGGATTTTCAACACCAAGTCAAGTCAGTGCTTCTGTATGGTTGAGAGACTTGGCGCGTCACGAAAGGGATTTCCAATAAACTACAGACATTCATCAACAACTGCTTACGCTCGCTACTGAAGATCAAATGGCCAGAAAGAATAAACAACAAGGAGCTCTGGGAACGAACCAACCAAGAATCTATCCCACAACAAATACGCAGAAGGAAGTAGAGATGGATTGGATTGGACATACACTGAGAAGGCCGACTGGGGACATCACGCGTCAGGCCAGGCCCTCGAGTGGAATCCCCATGGGAAGCGACGAGTTGGACGTCCGAGATGAGGGTGACATGGAGGAGATCGTGCGAGGAGGAAATAAGAGCATCTGGGCTGTCGTGGAGCCAGGTTCAAAAGATTTCAGAGAACAGAGGTCACTGGAGACGTGCTACTGAAGCCCTATGTCCCATTAGGAACCCAATAATTTTATGTATTATTATAACCGTCATAAATATTTGCAAGAACTGCTGCTATTGTCCACACTAAGCAAAATATTAGGCCGCATCATCCTCGAGAGACTAAAACATGCTCCGCATTCAAAACTACCACCGGAACAGGCTGGTTGGCTGGCTAGCTGCAGGCAAAACAAATCATCTGAGGATCAAATTACAACGCAACACTACGTATCATCATAGAACAGAGCGCACAATCGCAGTCAACTCTCTAACTCAACGTCATCGACTTTGAAAAGGCCTTCGACAGCGTCAACCTAGAAGCAATTTGGCAGGCAGCTGCTTCAACATTACGGTTTTAGTGCCACAAACCTCTATCAACCTCATTCAACAGCTACATGCTATGCCATATGATGCTACATACCAAGTGCTTCACAACGGAAAGCTCAGTGACGCCTTCGAAGTGAAGACAGGAGTAAGACAAGGCTGTCACCTACTACCACCGATCATCTTCCTGATTGTAGTCGACTGGACTGGACTGGATCATGCAACAAACTGTGAGGGAGAAGATCGGGATACGTTGGCTGGACCGATGAAAAGACCCCAGAAGATTTGGATTTCGCCGCCGCCGATGATGATGATGATGACTCATCTCCAATGTCTCGTCGCACAAACTCCAAGACACACTGGCGAAAACTAACAAGTTGGTAGAAGAGGCAGCGAAGACGGGACTTCGAGTGAATATAGAGAAGACAGAGGTGATGAAGATACCGCACCACCAACAACAACATACTCCAGTCACCATCAACGGGAGAAACTTAAAGGAAGTAGCCTTCACCTATCTAGGAAGCACTGTTTCAACTACAGGCGGGACAGACGAGGATGTCAAGGTCAGAATCGGAAAAGCAAGACAGGCTTTCATTAGCCTGAAACCAGTGTGGAGATCTTTTGCACTCAGCATGTGGAACAAGATTCGGATTTTCAACACCAAGTCAAGTCAGTGCTTCTGTATGGTTGAGAGACTTGGCGCGTCACGAAAGGGATTTCCAATAAACTACAGACATTCATCAACAACTGCTTACGCTCGCTACTGAAGATCAGATGGCCAGAAAGAATAAACAACAAGGAGCTCTGGGAACGAACCAACCAAGAATCTATCCCACAACAAATACGCAGAAGGAAGTAGAGATGGATTGGATTGGACATACACTGAGAAGGCCGACTGGGGACATCACGCGTCAGGCCAGGCCCTCGAGTGGAATCCCCATGGGAAGCGACGAGTTGGACGTCCGAGATGAGGGTGACATGGAGGAGATCGTGCGAGGAGGAAATAAGAGCATCTGGGCTGTCGTGGAGCCAGGTTCAAAAGATTTCAGAGAACAGAGGTCACTGGAGACGTGCTACTGAAGCCCTATGTCCCATTAGGAACCCAATAATTTTATGTATTATTATAACCGTCATAAATATTTGCAAGAACTGCTGCTATTGTCCACACTAAGCAAAATATTAGGCCACATCATCCTCGAGAGACTAAAACATGCTCCGCATTCAAAACTACCACCGGAACAGGCTGGTTGGCTGGCTAGCTGCAGGCAAAACAAATCATCTGAGGATCAAATTACAACGCAACACTACGTATCATCATAGAACAGAGCGCACAATCGCAGTCAACTCTCTAACTCAACGTCATCGACTTTGAAAAGGCCTTCGACAGCGTCAACCTAGAAGCAATTTGGCAGGCAGCTGCTTCAACATTACGGTTTTAGTGCCACAAACCTCTATCAACCTCATTCAACAGCTACATGCTATGCTATATGATGCTACATACCAAGTGCTTCACAACGGAAAGCTCAGTGACGCCTTCGAAGTGAAGACAGGAGTAAGACAAGGCTGTCACCTACTACCACCGATCATCTTCCTGATTGTAGTCGACTGGACTGGACTGGATCATGCAACAAACTGTGAGGGAGAAGATCGGGATACGTTGGCTGGACCGATGAAAAGACCCCAGAAGATTTGGATTTCGCCGCCGCCGATGATGATGATGATGACTCATCTCCAATGTCTCGTCGCACAAACTCCAAGACACACTGGCGAAAACTAACAAGTTGGTAGAAGAGGTAGCGAAGACGGGACTTCCTTCAGGTGAAGGTAGAGAAGACGGAGGTGATGAAGATACCTAACCAACAACAACAAGCACCACTCACTACCAACGGGAGAATTCTCAAGGAAGTAATCTCTTTCACCTGTCTACCTAGGCAGCGTCGTCTCAACTACAGGTGGTACAGGTGACGATGTCAAAGCCACGGTCGCAAAAGCAAGACAGGCCTTCGATAGTCTGAAATCAGTGTGAAGATCTACTGCACTCAGCATAAAGCGTGAACAAGATCCGAATTTTCAACATGTGATGGTTCAGGAGCTTGGCGCGTTACGAAAAGCATTTCCAACAAACTGTAGACATAAATCATCAGCAGCTGCCGCCTACGCTCGCTTGATACTGAAGGTCAGATGGTCGGAAAGAACAGGCAACAAGGAACTCTGGGAACGAACCAACCAACAACCTATCACCCAACAAATATGCAGAAGAAAGTGGAGATGGATTTGATTTTGATATACACTGAGAAGACCATTTGGGGACATCACCCGCCAGGCCAGGCCCTCGAGTGGAACCCAAATAGGAAACGACGAGTCGGGCATCCAGGGGTGACATGGAGGAGACCGTATGTTGAAGAAACGAAAGCTTACAAGCGGTCATGGAACCAGGTTAAAAAGACTGTGGAGGACAGCGTAAAATGGCGACGTGCTACTGAAGCCCTATGTTCCACTCGGAAGCCAAGGGACTAATAATAATGATAAATAAGTGTCATAATGTGGGATAAAGTTCCTAATGCTTGACCAAAAATTATAAATTGGTTTTGGCAAGCAAAATGGATACAAAAAACTTGAAGCATATTTGGCGAATAACATCAGAAACATACCCGATACTCAGCGACAGACTTATTTCGATCGCTTATCAGCCAAAGTGCTCCGAACACAAAAATCAGTAGGACAATAAAATATACGACTCGAAATTTCACGGGGTAGCGCCTCATTGAATAATTGAGAAAAATGGTTTCCTAATGTAAGTAAATCAAGAGTTATTGTTATTTGACACTTTGAAAATAGAGCACAGTTACCAAAACTTTCGTAGATTAAGATAACCGAGTCTTATCATACAGCTTATTAGTTGGTAAAAATACATTATTGTTAGAACGAGTATTAGCAGCGAATAATACTGTTTAAAAGAGTTATTCATCTAGTAAATCAACTGAAATGGAATAAACCATTACTACGATTAAAACTTTAGAACCAAACTTCTTAAATCTTAGCTTGGAAAAACTCACGTGAAAAATTTTAGCGCGGGATTCAGTAAACTAACTGAACTTTATATGCACAAACGAACGTTAATATGAAACATTTTTTCAATGTGCCATATCTAATTCACTGAACTTTGCAATTGTGTAATCATGAAAGCTACGGAAACGATTAGAAGAATTTTAGGTTAGTATTCATCATGGACTGACATCAGTTGGAAAAACATTGGAAACCTGGGAGCACTGGACACCTGTCTCGTCCTAGTATGGGACTTCCCAGCAGTGTGCACTCATAACCCCAGCAGGTATCTAGCCCAGAACCTTCATGTTCCGCGCCCAGCACGTTACCATTGAGCCACTGGGTCGCGATCCGCTGGTTCATATCTCCTATTTCTATCAGTTCACAACATAGTGATCGGATCACTACACAGTAATGCATAGTCTTATGTTGATGATAATGATGATGAATGCCGATAAATTCTGTCACACCGCAAACTGACAAGAAATAAAGTTTTACCCTTTATTTAATCGACACAAATATGTAACTATTTGTCTCCTATTCAGCTACGTTTACGAGATATGCTTTCTTAAGATACTTATTCAGTACGATGTAATGTGGCTCAATGACTAAAAACTCCATTTTGAAGCAGTGGTTCCCGGGTTTTAATCCCGCTTCACCTACTTTGGCCTGGGCAACCTGGTAGCATCATAAAACAAGTATGGTCTGTAGCTCAGTATATAAAAATATAACAGGTTGAGATAGATTATTATTATTCCGCACGATAGATCGTATATTCACAAGATATAAGACAAATACTTTTGTTATAAAATGACCTAGGCCAGAAATCAGCTAAGTACATACAGCATCTTAGACCACCTTAGTCAAGAAAAATTGATAAATCAACATAAACAGCTGCATCGCATGCTACTATTTTTGTACATTTACTTATGTGTGTGGTCACCTAAAAAGGAAGAAGTAGTTGTAATATGCAGTTTAGGGTACTTAAACACGTTTCTGAGTAGCTTAAAAGCAAACAACCTCAAATGATCCTCTAAGTGAAGATGAAAAACCACCAACAATATATTAGAAAATAATCACAAGGTTGATGCTCAGAGTTTCAAATGTATAACATAAGCATAAATTTATCGAAAACCTAACGTGCATTCACTTACCTTTTCTTTTCCTAGACACCGTCGTCTACTTCAAAATCATCATATTATTATTCACCTCTTCTTTTTGTGCGATTATGTACTTTCGCACAAAATCACATATTGATGTGCTTTGTATCGTCATACATAAACTTTACTCCCCGTATGCACTGAAAAACAAGTGCTATACAGTTTTCCTGATTCAAGTAATCACGCCTTGTGTTAGTTTAGATTATTATTATTTTGCTTTTGTTATCCTTTCTAATTTCCATTTTCTATTGGATGAATCGATCTTTTTTGAATTCTTACCTAAATAATTTAACAAGTTCATTTTTGATTAGATTGCTTGAAATGCACAGCGGTAACATATCATATTTTTTTCTTCTCACTACACTATCCAAATTTAGCAAGCGGACAAATTATTCGATACCTGATACAATTGTGATGCTCGGTGATAGTTTGACGTACTAGACTGAGTTACACACATGAGAAATCAAAGTAGAACCTGGCACATAAGTGTATCGGTTCAAATTGTTAGACTTAATAGCAGCCTGAAAAGAATAAGTGGGTAGAAAAGGACTAATATCAAATTAGACAAAGGATGTCAAGAAAAGGAGCTTGAAAATGAAGGTTAAAGAGGGTGCTCAGTCCAGTATATTTATCACTTAATAGGTAATCGGATACCTCACCGACGCCAGGGATGAAGTAATTTCACAAAAGTCAAACGAGGATTCAGTTTAAGCTGAGGTTTCGACAGCAACCAGCCCGTTTGGGCTGATGGAACCACTCAAGTAACTAAAGTAATCAACAAATTCAACCACTTCACTTCCTATCCTTAGATTGGGATTGGTTGTAGACCAGTTCCGAAGCATCATCTTACATTTAACAGACAGGAAACGTCAAACATACTCAGGTTTCTGCTCAATGCCTTCAGAAGACCTTGCATTCCATCGGTGACTACCTAACAGAATAATGTTATTTACTTACTTCATATCAACCAGATGACCTCCAGGGAAAAGACCAATTCCTGTGAAGTCAGACCCACCTAAGGTTATGTCAATTAGTAGGTCTATGATGAAGTTAAGTGGGAACAGTGACAGTGAGCATCCTTGACGGATACCACTAGTTTTCGGCGATTCTGATAACAACTCTTCATCAGCCATGAGACGGCTGCATGAGTTCGAGTAGAAAGCTTAGAAACGCGCACATAGTTGCTCGGCACACGCTTCACAGTCAAATACTACCATAACACCTCACGCCCGATAGAGTCAAATTCCACCTATAGGTCACGAAATATGGCAAGTGTAAGCCGCCGGTAGGTATGTCTATGTCTCAGAACCTGTCGAAGGTTTTCTCAAATTTTCATTCCACCCCCAATGATCACGTAGAGATAATAATGAGTCTACCAATCTACGGCTCTCAGACGTTCGCTGTTAGTTTATCGATCAGCACTTAAGTTTCCTCAGTTTATCAAAAACTACCAGACAACTCGTTACAATTTCTAAAATTCTGTTTTTACGTTTTAGAAGGATTCGGGGTAACAACTGATTACTACTGCAAGCCTGGAATGAATAGAACTCTGGTGAAACAGCATGTATGTGGCGATTTGCACCTCATGAGAGTTGATGTAGTATAATCGAAAGTGAATGTATATTTTGAATAGAACAAACCAATCGTGAAATCTAGATACAACCAAGGATAATTTAGAGGATAAATATATCGCATCGCAAAGTGCAGGGTTGCATGATCGTCGAAGTACTTTATAATGGGTTACAGCTTGGGGTTCAAATTCTGCTGTACCTACTTCAACTGGTCAACCAAGCAATGCGATTCGATCAAAAACATTGCCTAGCTTAAAACTTATTCAACAAACCTGCATATAAATATTAACCCATTTAACTTTGAGGAAAAGTTGCACTTTGAAAATGCTTAGAATCCTGAGGATAAAAGGGGATACATTTTAGTTGTTGTCTTAAATTTTGAATCATATCGGTAAGGATCTCAAGTCTTGGATTTTTAACATATTCGTGACTCGAGGAGAGGGCTCTATGCTCCTCCACACTACTCGAATCCAAAGGTAACAACTCCATAGATTAGTATTTTGTTGACTTCACCAACGGTTTCCCATTTTAAACTTCCATCTTATCAGAGTAGTCGGCTGAAAAATAACAGGTGAATGAGTGCATGTTGCACTTACTTTATCTACCTCGATGGATGAAGGTTTGAAACCTAATCAGGTGTTTTCACATGCAATGCACACTCCCTGAAGTATTCATATTTGTTATTGATTGGAAATTACAGATACTTAACATGCCTTAGCCACGAATCATAACAAGATGGGGAGCTATTTGGATTTCGTTCATTACATGCTCTATATCAATTTTATAGAACATGGAGCATGTATAAACAGCTGGTTTAAAAATGAAATCTAACGTTATTACCCAAATGGAACTCATTCAACATGATCATTTTCATGTATCTGAAGGTTGAGACACCTCAAAAAAGATTAGTAACTTATAGATTAGCACCCATGAAAGAAGTTACTTTTCCTTAACTCTAGTGACAAACTGGTGATTCTCAGGCTTCACGCTATATGTCGATTGCGTTAATTATACGAGCAATGCCACTGCTCACTGATTTGCATTCTAAATGAAAATTACTAGGAGACCTAACCTGCTTCATGGCATTTATTTCGAAAGTATAGCAACGGATCAGATTTGAGATTCTGAGAATAGCTGACTTAGCTAGGTAGCAGTGAAAAAAATAGACATGTCCAGATGATAAATTTTTCTCGATCATTATATTGTTGTTGGTGTACGGTAATATCATAGTTAATTGAAGCAAACCCCAAAATATTACGTCTAAGGTATTCCACAAACTCTAGTCAAAATACCTTATGGACCTGAACATAGCTCGGGACGTCGATTACCTTATAATATATTAAATGTATATACACAACGTGTGAGAGCTGTAGAATCAAGCAATAATATGTCTGTTGACACATTTCTCACTTGCTCACGAACACAAGCTAACCACCTTGGGCATTTGAGGAGAAGTAGGGGAACTTAAGGTAATTTAGATGCGAAACAAGTTGAAGAGAATATCGAGGAAAAATGCACCATTTTCTAAGAGCCATGGAAACCCCTGACTGAAAAAAAGAAAAAAAGAGGGGGAGTAGGGAGAAGTAATGCGTTTCAATGGGGGATAAATCATGTCAGGGGAGAAAGGAAAACAAAATAAAGCAGTTAATGGAGAAATAAAGTTTAAAAACTTGGATTGGGGATATCCTCTCCACAGGATTCGGATTCCGGAAAAACGGGAAACAATGAGGACTGTTGGGAAGATGCATAATCACTACTGCTTCCAGAGAAATTTCAAACTGAATTTATCGTATGTTTAAAAAATCGCAGGCTTGGGACTAACGAAGCTTCAAAGTGATTTTACTATGGTAGACTGGTTTAGTACCATGAACCCAATATGCATCTTTTGTGAGCCTGTACACACCAGTTGGTTTTTTCATGCTCGCTTCTAGGTCTTGCATAACGGTTTCAGGTCTTCGGTGGATCCTGAGACGGTAGATCCGAGAAGTT